CTTCCTCGAAAACGATAGTCGTTTCACTTGTAGACAACAGCTGCTGATCGAACTAGAAATCACTAAAGGATATTTTCTGAAAAAAAAATACTCTTAGTTATTGGGGATGAAAAAGCTGTCAGCCATAAGGACCTGCAGAAAACAAAAGCTGCATGTGGGTCCGAGTAGTTCAGGAAGATTAAAAATGGCGTTACAACCAGAATTAACTATATTAACTATAGTAGCAATTATAGATAAGCTTCGGGGCGGTGGGGTAGTCTAGTGGTTAAAGCGTTGGCTCGTCACGCCGAAGACCCGGGTTCGAATCCCCACATGGGTACAATGAGTGAAGCCCATTTCTGGTGTCCCCCGCCGTGATATTGCTGGAATATTGCTAAAAGCGGCGTAAAACCAAACTCAGTCAGTCAGTCAGTATAGATTAGCTTCACCAACGATGTAAAGCCTCACTTAACTATATACATACAACTAATTATACATCTGTAGTACTATTTAGTTCACTGTAGTATTATGTTTTAGTGCCGAGTAGGCACAAGTATAGTTCATTATTATGGATAGAGCATCGCTAACTTCAATCAAATATCAAACATATGCTAAAATCAACTGAGAGATATAGTTTAATGTGCTTTCTTCTGATTTAACAGAAACTCTTTCTGTTTTATTGGATGTGTATATACTAAGTGTGTGGTTGATGTTTAGGGCCATCGCTATAAAGCAGTTATTTATTAACCCATTAGGTGCCGCGCGATCACATCAGTTATGAAAAGACATGATAAATGCATGTGGATGCTATCGCTGACATGCTCCTCTGACTAAACACAAAGCGGGATGGTGAGGGTGTCTCTGTTACGTCATAAATGCCCGATGGCTGACCTCGGCGGCAAACTCTTTTCCAAGCCTTTGAAGACAGAACAGGGTGGATCAGCTCTCTAAATTACTCTATTAAAAATAATAACAAGTATGTGAAATTAAATTACATCGGTGTGAAATTTGTCGACAAGATCAAAGAAAATGATCTTTCATTTGCAGTCTGTTTGGGGTAAAGTTGGCCTTGTTAAGCCTTGTGGTTAAGTCTCAGACTGTTTGATTGTTAAATACAGCCCATATTGTCATATGCCTCAGAAATATGGAGGTGTCAAAAGTTGTAATTTTTCCGGAAATGTGCACCTGTTCCCCTTTAAACAAATTCTTTAAGTGGGCCTGTCACCTGAGGAAAGTTGAATACAGAAGGTTTTCACTATCTATAACATCTAAATTTGTTGTGACATATCATTGCTTGTCAGAGTTGATCAGAATTGGATAAGAAGTATCCAACTTGGTTATGTGTGACATTATACACCCTCGAGTACGGACCCTCGGGTAACAGACACCTTGTAACGCCTTTTCACTTTCCTCGCCTTTGTGTCCTCCCATTTTACGATCGGAATGACCTCGGGGTGGTGTTTGATCCGGCACACAGTGGTCAGTACAGTTACACCATGCATCAGCTGACCCCAGGCCACGTGTCTACAAGTGACAGGTTGATGTCCACTATACACCACTGACCTGCAGAACATGTGTCCGTATACTGACATTAATCAGAGCTGGTTTAAACAATATTTATTTTCTAAGAAAAGCAAGATTTATGGACGTCAACGTCTTTATTGTGAATAACATCACGTTTCGGAGTGTACGCTTGCTCCTTCATCAGGCGAATGGTGGGGAGTATAAGGGGATATGTGTGTGTGTATGTGTGTGTGTGTGTGCGCGCGTGCGTGCGCGTGCATACACACACACACACACATACATACATGAGGCACTACAAAAAACCCATGTATAACAAGTTTATGTATACAATGAATATGTAATACAAACATTAGGCTAGTGATACGCTAAAAACAACATGGTAATAGATGTGATACGCTAAAACAACATGGTAATAGATGTGATACGCTAGAAACAACATGGTTATAGATGTGATACGCTAAAACAACATGGTAATAGATGGGATACGCTAAAACAACATGGTAATAGATGTGATACGCTAAAACAACATGGTAATAGATGGGATACGCTTAAACAACATGGTAATAGATGTGATACGCTAAAAAAACATGGTCATAGATATGATACGCTAAAACAACATGGTAATAGATGTGATACGCGAAAACAATATGGTAATAGATGGGATACGCGAAAACAATATGGTAATAGATGGGATACGCTAAAACAATATGGTAATAGATGGGATACGCTAAAACAATATGGTAATAGATGGGATACGCTAAAACAACATGGTAATAGATGGGATACGCTAAAACAATATGGTAATAGATGGGATACGCTAAAACAACATGGTAATAGATGGGATACGCTAAAACAATATGGTAATAGATGGGATACGCTAAAACAATATGGTAATAGATGGGATACGCTAAAAACAATATGGTAATAGATGGGATACGCTAAAACAACATGGTAATAGATGTGATACGCTAAAAACAATATGGTAATAGATGGGATACGCTAAAACAATATGGTAATAGATGTGATACGCTAAAAACAATATGGTAATAGATGGGATACGCTAAAACAATATGGTAATAGATGGGATACGCTAAAAACAATATGGTAATAGGTGGGATACGCTAAAACAACATGGTAATAGATGGGATACGCTAAAACAATATGGTAATAGATGGGATACGCTAAAAACAATATGGTAATAGATGGGATACGCTAAAACAACATGGTAATAGATGTGATACGCTAAAAACAATATGGTAATAGATGTGATACGCCAAAACAATATGGTAATAGATGTGATACGCTAAAAACAATATGGTAATAGATGGGATACGCTAAAACAATATGGTAATAGATGTGATACGCTAAAAACAATATGGTAATAGATGGGATACGCTAAAAACAATATGGTAAATGATAGGGTATAGAATCACACAGGGAGGCCAGCCATACAGTGATTCCGTACAAACATGAGGTAAGGGAGGCCAGTATGCAATACAAACAAGAGGCCAGTGTTTGTATTACATGCAACATTGTTAAACTGGTTATACATGTTTTCTTTGTAGTGCCTCGTGTATGTATGTATATATCACCCATATACTCCCTACCATTCCCCTGATGAAGGAGCAAGCATACACTCCGAAACGTGGTGTTATTCACAATAAAGAAATCTTGCTTTTCTTATGTATTCCACTTCTAAATGCAACACATGTTATATTTGGGATTACACTTTCTTAGTAAAGTACAAATTCTAGTATTCTTTGGGTAGAGTCCCATCCGGGATTCGAACCCACACCCTCAGAGTCAGGCACCTAATCGCCAGCACACAAAGGCGTATGTGAACCTGTATAACAAATAGCATCATAGCTATGTCAGTAGAGCAAACATGAAGATACGGAAAATTTCACAAAATTCTGTAATTGAAGGATATTTTGATAATTTCGATTTATTAAATTAGACTAGGAACATCCTTTTGTGAGGGTAATATGTTCGTGTCCATATCAGGAACAAATGCACACAAACAAATAATCCCATCTCCTTGAAAAATTAAATCTCGATGCATTGAGAACAACATGTGAAGCATTCCTTGGAAAAAGCCATAATAAAATATACTCATGGAAACGAATAAGGGAACACATAAAAGTACATGTGTTCCTTTATTCTTTTCCAGCTTTCTTCACAAAGTATGTATTGCACTGTGGGCGAAATTCTGGAAATAAATAAATGAAACAAACTTTAAACAACTAAGTAACAGGCGATAAAATTTTAAAAAATAACTTTGTTTTATAAAATGACCATCAATTTAACGCCTGATTACCTTAGTGGGCGTATTCCACCTGCAGTGGCCGAATCCAATCAACTTTAGGAAGCTATTCAGGACAAGCCATTATGAAATATCTTTTATACGATAGTATGAATCTGTGGATGACCTTCCCTTTCGATTTAAATCACGGAAGTCGTTCCTGCCAAACCATACGTTCCCAGCTACGACTCGGCAGTAGTGATTCAAACGACCATAAATCTGAAAGAGACGACTCTGAGAATCCATACCGCTCCTGTGGCCATGAATACGAAGAATGCTTTCATATCGTCTTCATTTGTCCAAATTTACTGAAATCTTCAATAGCATGTAATATAAAGGTTTCACATTAGAGTCTGTTCAAAATTAGACGCCCCATTTTCCGTCCACTGTTTAATCTCATTCGATAGATTTTGGTTAGGAAATTACACTTCACGCCTATTAGTCGTCGCCATACTTATGTATTTCTGTTTAATAGGCTATATTTATTTGTAATATATGATATGTTGTACGGGAGATTGGTCATAGAATCTGCAACAGCTTGTTCATCAACCCATATTCATTCAGTCAGTAAAATTTGTAAAAATCATTAATTTCGTCTGATATTGAAACACAGGGTTTCTTTTCATTATTGAATCATAAACCTTTGAATGGCATTCAGGGGTGATAAACACAACATGGGAAATAGTATGGATGTCAAGTTTTGTATTATGAGGAAAACTGTTTCTCATAATTCACGCAAACATCGACATCCATAAGTTGTTCATCATAATACAGAGGTTTACATCCATAAATAAAATAGATAAAATAAAATGAGAACACATTTTCTGTAAGCTATATTCATTGCGATAGTTAGTTAAAGCGTGTTGCGTCAGTGTTGTGATTCTTAGATTTTGGTAATCCACTTTCGTTTGTCTACAGGTACATGCCAATGGGTAAAACCTATTGTTCCTAGTGCATTGTTTATACAGGCGTAAGCTACCGGTTAATGTTGACCCCAGCACAGCGGTAATCTAAAACCTTTAGGACAGCTAATTACACGAGATCTCGTTTGTTTCAATTGTTCTAAGGTGCACCCTACGGCTATTAAACAAAGATATCTTCGAAGCTGGCGGAATTGCAGTAAGACCCATACACAGCGTTATAACGAAGCCCCAGTGTATACACAGACGGTAAACCAGCCACCCGTGACCTAATTCCTTCTATGGGTGTGGTTCGTGTGGTTTGAATGCTTGGCAACAAAAATGACACACAGCCATGAACACGGCCTTCGGGTCGCGTTATATCGAGGCATCGGTACATAAAGAAGTCGTCTTCCTGGTGACTTCGTACAAGTTGATAACATTCAAACAGGACTGCTTATGAAGTTCACGCAGGGAACAGCTCTGAACTCGGTAGGTATTAAGATGTCTTTTCAAAGCTCAGAACGCGACACACGAGGACATAGATATACCTGGCCTGGTTGTGGGTATATACCGTAGTGTTTACCGGCCACGTAGCCAATAGCGTTGATAACGTTGATCAATATTCCTCAGTCGCAGGTTTGTACAGGAACGATCGGTCCTGACACAGTCTGTGCCCATATATGTATTTACCTGGACATGCACGGAGGTGTTATGGTGTTAATGTGAACGACTAGCGTCCAGGTGAGTGTTTTTTGCCAGGTAATAGTTGTTAATGACAGCGTTGTTGCATAGTCATAGAATGTTGTCATACGTGCATTTTCACTGCACGGTGCACAGGTTAATAAGGCTATGATATAACTACTACTCACTAGTTCTATCTATCTATTTATCTATCTAACTATCTATCTATCCAACCGAATTTGGATTCATCACACACACACACACACAAACACACAAGCTTAATTTTAAATATCAGCAAGGTTCATTGAAGCATGCCATTAAAGTTGTCACTCGACATTTTTGTGGAAGAGCAAACCCCAGCAGTTTGTAGCTTTATCTAAACTGTTACTTCTGTCTATTTTGGTGTTAATTCTGCATTATTTACCAATTTCAACAGCTATGAAACTTTTAATCTCATTAAATATTCCATATATATTGAAGGAAATCGGGACGTGAGAACATTGGGTAAACATCCGCTCTGGGGTGGGGATAGCCTTGCTCCAAGGTTGTACTGAAGGCTAAGCTCATGGGTGTATATTAATTATATCCTTTAAAGAGGCAAGTCTAGATAAGCGGTTGGTCTGAGGACGGGAGTCCCTTAGAGGGATATTTATATTTTTTAGAAATTATCATTTAAACTATCAATTATTACGTTAGAAACTTTTGCAAGTCTAGGATGGGATCGCCATTCGGTAAGATATGACAACTGGTCGATTGCTGCCTGCTCGACCCGGGGGTGGACCTTACATCACCTTTCAGACATATTTCCTATACCAACAAACGATTAGCAAACACTCTCTCCCCGAGCCATACCACTTTCCCTTCTTGCCAGCCCTTAACTGTAAGGCCCCTATACCTAGCAAGGCCGCTACCCTAGAGCAAGTCTAGATTTTCGGGCATGTTCTAAATATAGGTTTTTCTTTTCAGTTTTAGTGTTTGTGTTTATCTCAGTTATATATTTTCAAAGACTAGATGTTAGTCTGACAGCTTTACCTGCATAGTATATTTATAGTGATTATAACGGCGGTTGTCTATATCACATGAATGACAGATATATAGCGGTTGTTCAGTATTTTACCTACCACCGTGCTATTGCTAGACTTCTTTATACCGTATGTTACTCCGGTGAGAATGAGATCAGATGGAGATGTATTGCAGTCATTGTCATCTCGGGACGACCTCGTGGCAAAGGCATGTACACGTGTTAAACTGTATTAGAGATTCCCAGCCTCTACCACCTGTGGTGGGAACCGTGTGTACAAATCATCCATACAACAGATACCGTATTGGCCTCTATAGGGGTTACGGGTTAAATGTGTTTACAGAGAGGGAGGAGGGTTCACTCACAAGATCTGCTTCAAACATGGATAAAGACGTCACTGTCGAAAGCCACCCGTGCAGATCCGGGTTAGAATTGGTTCAGTAGCTCTATTTACTCTGTAAAGGATGTATTTCATTTTGTATGCATTTGGTCAGTACAATCTGTTATAAAAACAAGCTGTAGTGAAGTTATATTCATAAGGGGTATTTGCGTAGCTTGTTTTGCTTCTGTACAGATCAATGTTTCTTTAGAAATGAAAATATGCTTAAACCTACAAGTCGATTAAAACGAAAGATTTTCAGCAATAGTTACATAGGCAATGATATACGTCTACCGAGCTCCAGTTTTCCACACGGAAATGTGTAGTGTTGAATGTGGAATGTCTGTATTGCACATTTTCGGTCCGTGATCCATGGTCACCTGCTGGTTGATTTGGTCACTGGGGCGTTAACTGGACCAGGGGCTCCTTTCTCGAAGCAACCTTTACTAAGGTTTACCTGAACTCCCATTCTTTAACATTACACTAAGGTTAACTTGGTGACTTACGATCATCTTAGTGCTTTGTGAAAGGAGGCCCAGGGCGCTTACTACAGCGGGTACGGTAGATGTCGTAAAAATCGTAAAAACTAACCAACTCAAATGTGTCAGGTGGTCAGGTAACTTCGCGAAAATTGCGTGTAAAAGTTTACCAAAGGCGTGAATTGTTGCTAATGATTTCATTCACAGGTTTACCTGGTCTAGTCGTGAACAGGGATATGGATATAGCTTGGCCGGGGGCATAACCGATAGTAACGTTAGTGGGTTATACAGCTTCTGGGCCACAACCTATAGTAACGTTAGTGGGTTATACAGCTTCTGGGCCACAACCTATAGTAACGTTAGTGGGTTATACAGCTTCTGGGCCACAACCGATAGTAACGTTAGTGGGTTATACAGCTTCTGGGCCACAACCTATAGTAACGTTAGTGGGTTATACAGCTTCTGGGCCACAACCGATAGTAACGTTAGTGGGTTATACAGCTTCTGGGCCACAACCGATAGTAACGTTAGTGGGTTAAACAGCTTCTGGGCCACAACCGATAGTAACGTTAGTGGGTTATACAGCTTCTGGGCCACAACCGATAGTAACGTTAGTGGGTTATACAGCTTCTGGGCCACAACCGATAGTAACGTTAGTGGGTTATACAGCTTCTGGGCCACAACCGATAGTAACGTTAGTGGGTTATACAGCTTCTGGGCCACAACCTATAGTAACGTTAACGGGTGTCCACACCATGACGTATGTTCCCCGACCAACTGCCGTACCCACTGAACCGTCAGGTCTACTCCATTACTGTGAAATCCTCAACCTATTGTATAGGATACGCAGAAACCAATGGGATGTAATCGTTTTCCTCTTTGGTATAAAACTCAAACGCACAGGAATTGTGCAGTGTGTAAACTCACTAGCACAGGTATTGTTTTTTAGCAGGACGTGGGTGTAAACTCACTAGCACAGGTATTGATTTTTAGCAGGACGTTGTGTGTAAACTCACTAGCACAGGTATTGTTTTTGAGCAGGACGTTGGGTGTAAACTCACTAGCACAGGTATTGTTTTTGAGCAGAACATTGGGTGTAAACTCACTAGCACAGGTATTGTTTTTGAGCAGCATGTTGGGTGTAAACTCACTAGCACAGGTACTGTTTTTTAGCAGGACGTTGTGTGTAAAGTTACTAGCACAGTTATTTTTTTTAAGCAGGACGTTGTGTGTAAACTCACTAGGACAGGTATTGTTTTTAAGCAGGACGTTGAGTGTAAACTCACTAGCACAGGTATTGTTTTTTAGCAGGACGTTGGGTGTAAACTCACTAGCACTGGTATTGTTTTTGAGCAAGACGTTGTGTGTAAACTCACTAGCACAGGTATTGTTTGTTAGCAGGACGTTGTGTGTAAACTCACTAACACAGGTATTGTTTTTAAGCAGGACGTTGGGTGTAAACTCACAAGCACAGCTATTGTTTTATAGCAGGACGTTGGGTGTAAACTCACTAGCACAGGTATTGTTTTTAAGCAGGACGTTGGGTGTAAACTCACTAGCACAGCTATTGTTTTTTAGCAGGACGTTGTGTGTAAACTCACTAGCACAGGTATTGTTTTTGAGCGGCACGTTTGGTGTAAACCCACTAGCACAGGTATTGTTTTTAAACAGGACGTTGTGTGTAAACTCAATAGCACAGGTACTACTTTTCAGCAGGACGTTGTGTGTAAACTCATAAGCACACATATTGTTTTTAAGCAGGACGTTGAGTGTAAGCTCATTAGCACAGGTATTATTCTAAGCAGAACGTTGGGTGTAAACTCAATAGCACAGGTACTGTTTTTAGCAGGACGTTGTGTGTAAACTCACTAGCACAGGTATTTTTTTCAAGCAGGACGTTGGGTGTAAACTCACTGTAGTGTATGGGCTTGTGTGGCAGATACATGTATTGGAGACAACTCCTGCAGCCTTATGTGACGGTAGCGGCAAGCTGATTAGAGTTTCGTCCCTTGGGGACCCCTGCTTGTAACCCCCACTTCCTGAGTAAACGCTCGACGTAGAAGTCATGGTATTTTGTGTTCTGTTCGGCCACGGCCTTGTGTATAAGATTCAAATACACAACACTCACTAGCACAGGTATTGTTTTTAAACAGGACGTTGTGTGTAAACTCACTAGCAGGGGTATTGTTTTTGGGAAGGACGTTGGGTGTAAACTCACTAGCACAGGTATTGTTTTTTGGCAGGACGTTGTGTGTAAACTCACTAGTACATGTATTGTTTTTGAGCAGGACGTTGTGTGTAAACTCACTAGCACAGGTATTGTTTTATAGCAGGACGTTGTGTGTAAACTCACTAGCACAGGTATTGTTTTAAGCAGGACGTTGTCTGTAAACTCACTAGCACAGGTATTGTTTTAAGCAGGACGTTGTCTGTAAACTCACTAGCACAGGTATTGTTTTTAGCAGGACGTTGTGTGTAAACTCACTAGGACAGGTATTGTTTTGAGCAGGACGTTGTGTGTAAACTCACTAGCACAGGTGTTGTTTTTAAGCAGGACGTTGGGTGTAAACTCACTAGCACAGGTATTGTTTTTATAGCAGGACGTTTGTGTAAACTCACTAGCACAGGTATTGTTTTTAAGCGGGACGTTGGGTGTAAACTCACTAGCACAGGTATTGTTTTTGAGCGGGACGTTGTGTGTAAACTCACCACAGGTACTACTTCTTTTCAGCAGGACGTTGTGTGTAAACTCGGGACGTTGAGTGTAGGACTCAGGTAAAGCAGAGCTCACAGGTATTATTCTAAGCAGAACGTTGGGTGTAAACTCAATAGCACAGGTACTTTTAGCAGGACGTTGTGTTAGTAGCACGTTGTGTGTAAACTCACTAGCACAGGTATTTTTTCAAGCAGGACGTTGGGTGTAAACTCA